ATATATATATATATATATATGTGGCAGTTGAAACAACCGGCGGCGATTATGATTTGTAACAACTTGATGATCAAGGCAACGTTTTTTTTTGCACGCGTTTGTTCCTTCATATTTTGTTTTACATATTTTTATTTGCTCTGCGGTTTCACTTACTCTTGCTCAAACCTCAAACATCGCGGACGCGCTCGAGTTTCTCTCGTCTTATAAAAGTCTTCCGTCGGCTTTCGTCGCCATCGACGCCGTCGCATCCCTCGTGCGCGAATTTTGATTTTTGTTAAACTGATTAAAGATTCTACATTTATTACGCACACCCCAGCACTGTTTCTGTGTACTAATCCTTTCTTAAATAGCGGCAATCGCTAAATTGGTGACCCCGACGTGACATACTGAGTGTACATCAAGTTCAGTGCTTCGCTGTGTTTTCGGCTCGTGTGTGTGTTTGCACGCCGGACTTCGCGTGCCCGGTGACTTTTCGGTGCGTGTTCGCGAGTTCGGGACAGTTTCTGGGAGTATGCTTCGCTCTCTGCCCGACCGGCCGACGGGTGCCGTCGGCGGTCTGCCGCTCGACGATTCGGCGGATGCCCGGAGCGACGCCGCACCGATTCTTCAGCCGTTTCCTGCCGCCCAGACGCAAAAGTTGGACGCCGTTCATAATTGCCGGCTGCCTCCCTTCTGGCGAGAGAACCCGGAACTCTGGTTCTTCCAGGTTGAGTCGGCCTTTCAAGTGCACCGTGTTCGCGGCGACGACAGCCGTTATCACGCTATCGTATCCTCCCTGGACACCGCGGCTCTCCAGGAGCTCGCCGATGTGCTCAGGACGCCGCCGGCTGGGAGAAAGTACGAGCATCTCAAGACGGCCATTCTCGCCAGATTCACCGACTCTGAGGACCGACAGTTACGCAAGGCGCTCGTCCAGCTGGAGCTTAGTGACAAGAAGCCGTCTCAGCTGCTTCGCCAGATGATCGCTCTGGCCGGCGAGCGTGCTTCGGACGACGTTATTCGGGTCAGGTGGCTCGACCTGCTTCCGGTAGGCGTTCAGAGACTCTTCCGTATCTTCAAGGCGCCGAGCCTTGAGGAGCTCGCGGCGGCCGCGGACGAGTTGGTCGACAGCGGTCCGGCCGTCATGGCCACCGATCCACCTTCGTTTCGCGCGGTTTCTCCCGTCGACGCGCGGTCCGACGGGCCCCGGACGGGCGGCACGTTCGCCGCGGAGCTTGCCTCCATTCAACTCTCTTTGGCTAAGCTTATTGAGCTCAACCGGGACGTGTTGGCGAGGATGTCCGCGCCGGCGCCCTCGGATGTGACGGCCCGACGCACCAGGTCGGGCTCGAGATCTCAGCCACCGCGCCGCTCTGGATCTCCAGCGTCGCCTTCGTTGATCTGCCACTATATCAAAGATGGAGAGCCTCAGCGCGGCGATGCCTGCGCCCTTGCTCATTCCCCGTTTCGGCCGACCAGGCACAGCGGCAGGGAAACTAATACCGTCGGCGTCTTGTCAGGCGGCTAACGTCGGCGAAGTAGCCTCGGAAAATCGCCTACACATATACGATAGGACAACGGGCTTGAAATTTCTGGTTGACTCTGGCTCCGTTGTGTCCCTATTACCCCGCTCGGCGGTGGTAGAATGGCATAGGAGAATGACGCCTTCGGATTTGAAACTCTCTGCATCCAACGCCTCCAGCATCATCACGTACGGACAACGCTTCATGACGCTCAACCTCGCGCTTCGACGAGATTTTCCATGAACTTTTATCGTAGCGGACGTCAGGACAGCTATCTTGGGTGCAGACTTCCTGGCGCACCTCAACCTGATGGTCGACGTCAAGGGGCGTAAACTCGTCGACCCCATCACCACGCTCTCGGCCGAGGGGGTTTGCAGGCGTCCTAGCATCTTCAGCATCTCTCTAACGGATCATCTGGTCGTTCCGGAGGGAGACGCTGGACGGCTTTACTCAAAGCTTCTTAACGAGTTCGTGAACCTCGCTGGCTCAGGCGGCGTGACCGTAACACCCCGCAGCTCCGCGGTCGCACACCACATCGTTACCACAGGACCGGCGGTGTTCGAGCGCCCTCGCAGACTTTGCGGGGACCGCCTGGTTGCAGCCAAGCAGGAATTCGAGACCCTACTGGCTCGTGGCATCATCCGGCCTTCCTGTAGTCAGTGAGCAAGCCCCCTGCACCTGGTAGAGAAGAGGACCGGCGGGTGGCGCACCACGGGCGACTATCGACGGCTCAACGCCTGTACAGTACCCGACCGCTACCCTTTGCCCATCATCGAGGATCTTCTTCAAGACTGCCACGGCTCGACGGTTTTCTCTACCATCGACCTGCAGAGGGCTTACTACCAGATCCCTGTGGCTGCAGAGGACATTCAGAAAACAGCCGTCACCACGCCCTTCGGTCTCTTCGAGTTCCTGAGCATGTCGCTCGGACTGCGGAACGCCTCGCAGACCTTCCAACGCTTTATGGACACCACTCTGCGAAACTTGCCGTTCGTACGCTGTTACATGTACGACTTACTTATCATCTCCAATTCTCATGAGGAGCACATAGAGCACCTCAGAACACTCTTCCAGACTCTCCGATCGGCCAAGCTGTTTGTCAATTTGGCGAAATGCAGCTTCGGTAAGGCCCGCCTTGATTTTCTCGGTTTCAGCATTTCTGGCAAAGGTTACGAACCGCCCGCAGCCAAAGTTGAGACAATCGAGGATTTCCCGAAACCAGAAACTCCTGCCCAGCTCAGGAGATTCCTGGGCATGACAAATTTTTATCGCCGATGCATTCCCAGGGCATCCCTTCTCCAGGCTCCTCCAAGCGACCTGCTCAAAGGACTCCCCAAGGGCAACAAAGTCAAACTGACCTGGTCACAAGAAGCCGACTAGGCCTTCTTGGACTACAAGCGCAGCATCGCGCAGTGCTGCCGGCCAGCATTCCTCGCCCACTCGGCCCCGCTAGCGCTCACCACCGACGCCTCCAGCTCTGCAATCGGTGCCTCACTGGAACAACGTGAGGACGGCGTCTGGAAGCCTATTGGTTTTTTCTCCAGAAAACTCAGCAAGACTGAAGCCCGTTACAGTACTTACGACCGTGAACTCCTCGCTATGTTCGCGGCAGTCAAGTATTTTAGACGCATTCTCAAGGGCCGAGAATTCCAAATCCGCACAGACCACCGCTCACCTTCGCTTCAACTCAACGATCAGACAAAGCCTCTCCGAGACAGCAGAGACACCTGGATTTTATCCTCCAGTTCACCGCAGACATAGTCCACGTGAAGGGGGAGGAAAATGTCGTCGCCGACTCTCTGTCCCGCACCTGCACCATCTCGATGCCGACGACGCTCGATGCAGGGCGCATTTCAGAGGCCCAAGCGATCGACGACGAGCTGCCTGATCTCCTGGTTGGCTCCGCACTGGATTTACAGCAGCTCCGCATCGAGGGACACGACGTTTTTTGCAACGTGGCTCACGACACCATCAGGCCTTACCTCCCTCAGACCCTCCGTAGGACGGCTTTCAGTGTGGTCCTTTCCCATCCTAGCATCAGGGCCACGGTCAAACTCCTGGCCACGAAGTTCTGTTGGCCCGGACTCAGGAAGGACGCAGCGGAATGGGCACGCACGTGTCTACATTGCCAAAAAGCCAAAGTACATTAGCACAACCGCTCTGCTCTCGGCGAGTTCGTTACGCCAGACAACCGGTTCGAACATGTGCACATGGACATCGTCAAGCTGCCACTGGTAAAAGGGTTCCAGTACTGCCTCACAGTCATCGACCGGTTCACCAGATGGCCAATCGCAGTGCGCATGCGGAATATGCAGGCGGACACCGTGGCAGAAAAATTCTTCACAAATTGGGTCTGCAACTACAGCACCCCTTGTTAATTACTTCGGAACAAGGCACGTTCGAGTCTGCAATCTTCACATTACTCTCCAAGATTATTGGAGCCGAACGGACTCGCACCACACCTTATCATCCACAATCAAACGGGATGGTCGAGCGTTTCCACCGCACGCTCAAGGCAGCACTAATGTGCAACCCACACGTGCCCTGGCCGGACCTGCTGCCTTCAACCCTCCTTGGCCTTCGCACGGCTTTCAAGGAGGACCTTCAGGCATCTCCGGCGGAGATGCTGTTCGGCATGGCCTTACGCATCCCCGGAGAATTTTTTGTTTCAGATAGTTTACGAGCAGAACCGCAGAAGTTCCTAGGAAAGTTCCGGAAGCTCATTCGCGCCGTGAGACCGGTTCCGGCATCTGACCACTCCAAACGATACCCGTTCCANACTAATGTGCAACCCACACGTGCCCTGGCCGGACCTGCTGCCTTCAACCCTCTTCGGTCTTCGCACGGCTTTCAAGGAGGACCTTCAGGCATCTTCGGCGGAGATGCTATACGGCATGGCCTTACGCATCCCCGGAGAATTTTTCGTTTCAGATAGCTTACAAGCAGAACCGCAGGAGTTCCTAGGAAAGTTCCGGAAGCTCATTCGCGCCGTGAGACCGTTTCCGACATCTGACCACTCCAAACGACACCCGTTCCAGCTCAGGGACCTGCGGATGCGCACTCTCGTTTTCAGGAGAGTGGACTCCTTCCGCAAACCCCTGGAGCCGCCATATACGGGTCCACGAGAGGTTATCCTGAGGCTGAACGACAGAACCTTCGTCATTCGCACCAACGGTAAGGAAAAAACGGTCTTCACTGATGGGCTAAAGCCAGCCTTCATAGAACCGGACAATAAGCAGCCGTCTACGCTAAAATCAACCAATTCCGCACCTCGAACCGCCTCACTTAAGAAAAGGGTGTCGTTCCCTTCGTCAGAGACGAAGCTCTCTGGGGAGGGAGTGAATGTGGCGGTTGAAACAACCGGCGGCGATTATGATTTGTAACAACTTGGTGATCAAGGCAACGTTTTTTTTGCACGTGTTTGTTCCTTCATATTTTGTTTTACATATTTTTATTTGCTCTGCGGTTTCACTTACTCTTGTTTCAAACCCCAAACATCGCGGACGCGCTCGAGTTTCTCTCGTCTTATAAGAGTCTTCCGTCGGCTTTCGTCGCCATCGACGCCCTCGCATCCCTCGTGCGCGAATTTTGATTTTTGTTAAACTGATTAAAGAT